ACGACATCAGAGAGTGCAGCCCGGGCCTGCATGGGCGAACCAAAAACCTTTGTGATTGTGAACCCAAAGACCTCGGCTAGCTGCCTCCCAGTCTCTTGGTTTCCCTCTAAATATTTGCTCGGAAATAAAGAAAGTAAGAATGGACAGAGTACGGTGGCTTACGCCTGTAATTCCAGCACTTTGCAGGGGCCGAGGCAGGAGGATCACTTGTGCTCAGAGGTTTGAGACCAACCTGGGCAACATGGCAAAACCTCATCTCTAAAAAAATACAAAAATTAGTCAGGCATGGTGGTGTGTACCTGTAGTCCTAGTTACCCAGGTGGCTGAGGTGGGAGGATTGCTTGAGCCCAGGAGGCAGAGATTGCAGTGAGCCGTGATAGTGCCACTGCACTCCAGCCTGGGTGACAGAACCAGACCTTGTCTCAAAACAAAACAAAAAACCCAACGAAGTAAAAATGACTTCCAGTGGTTGACTGAGCAAGGCTCCTCGGAACTGGAGAGTTTGTCAGCATTTCTAGAAAAGTGAGACTCACATACCCTGGCTTCTAGGCCACCAAGTGTTAGCCAATTGTAGACCAGTCAATCGGTCTTGTAAAGCATGCTTGTATATGTGTGTGTGTGTGTGTGTATCATGCATAAATGTTATATATAGTATTATGTACACATGCATGTTTATATGTGTATACACACCTACAGTCTAGTATCTATGTCAAGCAAGCTCATAAAAACGAGTGACTGACTTACACCAAATGAACCTTCAGTTTTCTTCACACAACCAGTACCATAAAAGATGAAAATGGAATTGACAGGAGGGCAGGAAGGTTACTGAGAAGCAGAAGCTCCATCTGCTTGGAACTGGCCAGATGATTGATCGACTTCTGCCCAAGCCCAGAAACTGGTCCTTGGTGGCTCTCCCCACCCTGCCCCATAAGGCCCAAAGCTCCTGGGCATCTCCTAGACCAATCTTTCCTTACTTGTCCCCTTGCCATCCATGCTGACACAGATCTTGATTCCCAAATGGAGAAGACCTGTCATTAACCACTTCCGCCGGCAAGCCTGCCAGACAGCGTGCACTTCCCAGACACACAGATCACCAGCAGACAAGCCTATCTGAGCCTTGGTTTTCTCATCTGTCAAATGGGGATAAGAATACTAGTATCTTTCTCAGCTGCTGGCTTTGAGGATTAAATTGGTCATACTTGTGGAACTCTTAGAAAAGTAGTCGGCACAAAGTGAGTGTTCACCTAGTAGAGCTGGAATTATTGTTACTTCCCTTGTTGTTACAGACTTCACACATCCCTGCGCTGTTGCCAACAGTACGCCTCGAGTGCCACTCCTGGGGCCTTCCCCAGCCCTGGACACAGCCGTTTCCTCTCAAATCAATGATGACCAGAGAATTCATAAGGCAGCAAATGACTTCCCCATATTAGGGCTGCTGCGAAGTACCACATAGAGAAATAATGTACAACCCTGGAAAAAGCTCAAGGCCTGGGAAAACACCAAGTGCCTGGAATCTGTTGTTTGTTGTGAAATCAATGCTAAATCTATAAAAAGCTAAAGTGGACGGACTTATATGGAAGAAACTTTTAATTCAACGATTTGGATGAAGAAATGCATAAGAGGCGTCCTTTCCCAAATCTGATGTGATCCCGTCCTGGTTTTAAATTGAGATGCAGAGCTCCTGAGAGGACAGCTGATGTGCGTCCATGTTTGGGAGCCACACTGTGGCTTCCCTTGGCCCCTTTAAGCGGCTGCCTGTCCCTGGCCAGGGAAGACACAGGTGAGATAGGCCACAGGTGCTTCCTGAAACTGTCTCCTCCTGCCTCCACTTGACGTTAGCTTTGCAAATCCTGGGGGCTTTGTGGGCACCTCTGGGATGCAACTTGTTGGTTTCGTGTCCACTTTGCCAGGACCTGCCAGCAGATATGGGTTGCTTGTCTTCTTTGTCCCCAAGTCCCTATGCACCTCCTGATGGTCTGTGGCCTGGATGGGATGGAGTCCTCTGCACCAGGCACCTTCTTAAGGCTCTACCCACCACCATTCCCATTCTCTCTGCTTGTTACTATAATCCCCGTTTTTAGAGGAGGAAACAGCTCATAAAGGCTCAGTCATTTTACTCAAATTCAGCAGCAAAGCTTGGATCTGAACCGAAAGTTTTGTCGTACTTGCCACTTTCTCCTCTGGATGACGTTTTGGTGGCTCCATGTTACATTCTCCACTAGACTGTACACCTTTTGAGCTCAAGGGCTGTTCTATCCATCGAGCCCAGTCTTACACATGGATGTTGCTGAAAGTGGATGAGGATGGATGGATGGATGTTGGTGAAAATTAAAGGGAAACAGAGGATGATATTGATAGAATTAAGGGAAGTTTCTTTTGTATATAACTTTTATTCTGATTATAATGTTATTACATGGTCCTAAACATCCAAATACAGGAATGTAGAATATATCAGATGAAAGCCCTCCAAATTCGACTCCTCAGAGTTAACCATTATTAATGGTTTGGTATATGTTCTTCAAGATTTTTTCTATGTATGTACTGGCATATAATTACGTACAGAATTCAAAAACTGAGTTCACGTGATATGTGCTATTCTGCGTCATTTTTTTTTTTCCAGTGAGCGTTCTGGTTTGGATATGCGGTCTTGTTCTTTTTTTGAATGGCTGTGTTCTGTACATGGTTCTGCATGTAGCATTTTGCTTAATGAATCCCCTATTGATTGGCATTTGTGTTTGTCCTCATTTTTTTTTGAAATTACAAACAATGCTGCAACAAACATCTTTGGAGGGAAGATAATTTTAAAAGGAGTGTGTCCAGGTGAGGAGGAAAAGCCAGCAGGATGGAGAAGAGTTGTCAACTTCATGGAGCCCCTTGCCCAAGTAGGGAAATAAAATATAAACAAACTTCGATTCAAAGTTAGATTCACTTTCCCAAGTAGGGAAAGTGAATGAACCAGGGGGAGTGGTGGGTGCGCTTGCAATTTAGGAAGGGAAGGGCCACCTCTCCTTGGAATAAGAATGAATGCAGATAGGCTCTGTGAGGAAAGAATCTGGGTTTTGTGAGTGATGATGAGGTTGGTGACACGAAACATGCTTTGATGTACAGAGGACAGAATTGGAGGACGCACCTGTTGGTGGCCCTCAGATTTCTTTGTGATATAGGAGGTGAGGTTGTATGCTGGGAACAGGGCACCTGGTAGAGGGGTCAGTAGCAAATGCTGAAAATATGTGGGAAGGTTTTGGAGGCAGCCACTTGATTCAAATATATGAAGGCTGTTTGAAAAGCACAAGAACAACCTGTTAGTTTTGAGGCCCAGTGCTCGGCATGGAGAAGATTTGAGAAGGGCCATTCCTGTCGTTTAGGCTGCTTCTCCATGGGCTCTTCATTTCATTCCTCACAATCTCAGGACCTCTTCTGCCCTTCCTCCCGATACGTTTTCTTTCCTCCTTTTTTCTAGTTCTCTTTTGCAAGTCTTCATATCTCCAGAATCAGTGCTTCTAGCATTCGAGAAAGGCAGTTTTGTTTCTTCCTGTCACACCTGCACCTTTTTTTCAGGGACTTCAGAAACGCCTTCACGTGTCAGCAATGACTGAAAGATCCCAGCCAATGGCCGAGATGTTAATAACCATGCTGCCACCAGATGGCGCTCGCCACCCAATATCTTGGACTTCCTGATCAGACCGATAGGTAATTTTTGTGTGACAACCTATAGTATAAGAGTATTTTATTTTATATTTTAAACAGGGTGTCGCTCTTTCACCCAGGCTGGAGTGTAGTGGTGCAGTCGCGGCTCACTGCAGCCTCAAACTTCTGGGCTCAAGTGACCCTCCTGCCTCAGCTTCCGAAATAGCTGAGACTACAGGCACACACCACCATGCCCAGATAATTTTTTATTTTTTGTGTAGACGGGGTCTTCCTATGTTGCCCAGGCTGGTCTCAAAGTCCTGGGCTCAAGCGATCCTCCTGCCTCGACCTCCCAAAGTGCTGGGATTACATTTATGAAATGTGCACATGTCTAAAAGTTGTGCGTGTAGCTTTTGAGCATTTTCAGTTAAGGAACTGCAGGTTTCTAAATAAAAACAACTTTGATTCATAGTTTGCCCTGTGGGCACCAAAGTGCTTAAGATGTAAGAAAAGGAAACACCATAAAACGATCATCTTTTGCTCATCCCATTTTGGAATAAGCAGAGGATTTTAACTACATTCTATGCTAGGGAGGGGTCAATTTTATAATTGATGAATAATAAAAAATCAAGCTCAGAGCTCCCAGTGTATATTCTAAATCTACTTACTGAGTTAAATTTTGAAAACAAAAACACAGCGAATCAAACACAATAATATAAGAAATATACCCAGGTGAAAAATGTTCAAATAGTTAAACATATGTCTAATGTATCTGCTGTGACTTAATCCACCAATTGAAATGAGCAGAGACATTTATTTTTTATGACTCTGTTCTGTGTCTGTCTCTGAGCTTTCATCCTGCCTGACTCTTCAGAAGATCAGCTCAGACCCCTAGAGGAGTGGGGAGTGTGAACCCCGAAAATTTGAGACACGTCTCAGTTAATTTAGAAAGTTTTATTTGAAAAGGTTGGTTAAGGACGCGTGCTTGTGCCACAGCCTCAAGAAGTCCTGATGACATGTGCTCAAGGTGGTTGGGGCACAGCTTGGCTTTATACATATTGGGGAGACGTGAGACACCAATCAGTATGTGTAAGAAGTACATTAGTTCTTCCAGAAAGCGAGGACAGCTAGACGCAGGGACGAGGCTTCCAGGTCACAGGTAGGTGAGAAAAAAACGATTCCATTCTTTTGAGTTTCTGGTAAGCCTTTCCAAAACAGCCAATCAGGATATGCATCTGTCTTCAGTGAGCACAGGGATGGCAGAATAGAAAGAGAGGCAGGTTTGCTCTGAGAAGTTTCCAGCTTGAATTTTCCTTTTAGCTTAGTGATTTTCGGGGCCCCAGATATTTTCCTTTCACAGGAGTCCTTGCCTCCCAGGGATTGAGTACAGCTTCTGAGTCTGATGTAAACAAGAGTGGGGTGTGTGGAAGGCAGGTAGACGATTGAGTTTGTAATTCAACTCCTTCATCCCAACTCTGTGTGGAAGATCCATCATTTCTCACATAGAGTTGGCAGGGTCCCACTTTTCTCAGGTCTGCCAGACCTCACCTGTTATCTTCCTCCCCTTCCCTCTACACGCCTTTCTCCAGAAGGTGCAGAGAAACAGCCCTCTCCCTTCCCTTCCTGGACACCTGGTCGATGCCCTAGCGTTGCTGTGTTCCACAAGCTCCTCTGTGATCCCCTAAGGCCTTTAGGCCTTCCTTTAGAAGACAAAAGCCAACTGGCTTACTTCCCCTGCACATGCCCCATGAGGCAACACGTACAGAGTTTAGGATCAGCTTGAATGGGTATGAAGGAAAAGAGAAAAGATGGCCGGGCGCGGTGGCTCAAGCCTGTAATCCCAGCACTTTGGGAGGCCGAGGCGGGTGGATCACGAGGTCAAGAGATC